AAATAAGGAATGCAGATGTTTTCTAAAAAGCGGAACATTTTTAAAAATCGGCGGGACGCGGGACAGTCCTCCAAAAAGCGGGACTGTCCCGCCAAAATCGGGACGTGTGGTCACTTTACCCTACTGTGACGTTCTCAATCAGAAGTAGAACAAACAGTTCATAGTCTTATTGTCAGAAGCCTCGTTCTCAATCAAAAGTAGAACAAATAGTTCATAGTCTTATTGTCAGAAGCCTCGTTCTCAATCAGAAGTAAAACAAATAGTTCATAGTCTTATTGTCAGAAGCCTAATAGCCATACGATTAACGACAGATAACTTTCATCTCAAATGATTCAAGGCCTTGTTCAATTAATTAAAAGACTATAGTAATTTGTTTCGAATTCGATTCCAAATCATTCTGCATCAACAAAGGCTGCTGAATAAAAGTGAAGCAAGCAATTATAAGTTGCATTACTTTGCAGGATTTAGGCTATGCAAATGAGGTAAGTAAGAGAATCTTCTATGAACGGCACCTATCGTGTGACGGACAACGCTGCCATGCATTCTCTGACCAAACTATAAACAAATGAACGAGCAATATTGTTGAGCCATGCACAGTGGCTAAAAGTTTGACGGTCTATACCAAGAATGAGTACTTCTTCAAAATTCCAGTACCTGGTCGTCATAATTAAATTTCCTCTCAATAGAAGCAAATTTCACAGATGAAGGACGATCTTGCTATTAAGACGCTTGCTTTCATTTAATAAAACATATAAACAGCAGAATACATTCCGAGAGATCTGAGGGAAAAAAATAAAATGGGGAGACTTCGACAAGGATTGTCGAAGAGTGAACACCCTTGCCAGTTGTTCTCACCACAGCATGGAGCTTAGCTATCACATGACGTACAACAGAGCCGCCCGACCGTCGAAGCACACACCATCTGGCTGCGCGACCTCTGGCGAACAGCCAAACTATGGGGCCGACAACGGATATGTAAATACACTGGGACGAGAGAAAACAAATTGTACAGAAATGGTTAAGTGCGCATGCACTTGGAGAATTTTTCATACTAGCAGCTTCTCAGAGGGCACATTACAACTCAAGTTGCTCGTATAATGTTGACTTCGCGTCATTCATAATGATAACTTTCTTTCGCACTTTACTTTTCTCTAGGCTTCAATAAAAATAAAGAGAGCGGCTTATATCTTGTATGCAGGACTTCCTACCTTCGCAACGTAGTCGGAGGCATGCAGCACGTTATTGCAGTGTATGCGGTTAGTTCAAATTAAAAAAAATTCTATCTCGTACAGACAGCAAGGAAATTCCTGGATCATGGCTTCTATCATAAAGTTTGACGCGTAATCGTATTTCAAAGCGAGAGCTCTTGATAATTTTCGCATGGATAAAGAAAGCGATTGAACTTCGAATATGCTAGATTTTCAATTCATGATCTAACTGGGAACGAAGTTTTTCAACAAAAGTGCCAAGTTCCTACAAATTTTATCGACTAAATTAAAATATTTTACCGTTTCCAGGTTGATATATTTTAGAAATTTCATAACAGCGTGTTCATTTTTCACTTTTTAATTTCATACGATTATTCTGCTGCAATAGCTTGAGGAAAACCCCAGAAATTTCCAAGAAAACACCGTACACATCTGAGATGCATAAACGTACGATTAGATCACTACTGCTTCAATCAAATTAACAGTAAATTTTATGCAGCCTAACAAATTCAATTCTAAACTTATTAAATAAAGTTTACGATTTTCTCCCCTTATGCTATTCCAACATCAGCCCCCTCTAATCAATATTAAACACAATATATCTACATTTTAAATGAGTACCCCACAAACAAAGATAACATACGTTTAGGGAAACGGCAATTAACCCAAAACAACTTGGACTGAATAGTATTTTAAAGTAATCCAAAGATATATGTAATTTGAAATACTAAGTTTTATAATTTTTAAGACCATATCCGTCTGAATTCTAGTCAAAGAATAACGCAATATACGCTTGCACTAGTGGGGGAGGGGGGAGAACAATCTCTTTGCATATTTGAATACGACTATACACATAGCTCAATCCTATAAAGTTCATGGCAAATACGCTGTTGAATGTATCTGCATGTGTTGGGGAGGGGAAAAGTTTATTTTTTACATACTCGTCACTACAAAATTTAGTCATTTTCCTTCACAACCAACATCGCCTTCTTAAATTAAAATACCTCTGATCGCACCACCCCTCGCAATGAATTTCTTCGGTTCAGAATATAATAAAGTCCAAATACTTTACAAAGCTAATGTACATTTAAAACCGTTGAAAATCCTCTTCCGAAAACTTAACAAAGATATTGCTAGTTAATCTAAATCTTTGGAAGAGAAATCTATCTAAATATTCTTTACAAAAATAATCGCTGAATATTATATCAAACACTCGCGAAAAGACAGCGTAAAATATTTCATCAACAGTTACTAGCCATTCAATCGACGATCTAACCAAATTCAGCTGAGATTCACTTTGTTTATTGATAATATAAAATACTGGTTAATTTCATGTACATTTCATTTCCAAAAACGTTTAAAAGGGATTTGCGTATCATAAACATTAGTCAGGGGGTCTCGAATTGGCGTGCCCCCTAGCAATTTTATGTGGCCTGTTAATAAATTTCAGTTACGTTTCAATACGTTCAATACAAATTGAGTACAGTTTTAACACACTGTTTAAAGATTTCGATATGGCATAAATTCATTGGATAATGCATTGCAATAGCGTTTATTACGAAAATAGAGCACTAGCAAACATTTCAGCGGTCATTACATTCCAGCTAAATTCGAAACTAGCGCTAGCACACAGCCAAAAGTGTATGCAGCGGTTAACTAAGAGCGCTCTGTCGGACATACGATGTCAGTTAAATGATAATATTACAGACTTTGATGCTTACATGCCTATGCAACGGTGGCACGGCGATACAATTTATAAATTTATTCACCAGCCGTCAGAGTTGGTTGAACTTTAATATTTTTTTCCTTGGCAATCACTAGGTGCTTTTACTTTCCTAGAGTCAGTCACTAGTTGTTAAGCTGGATGTACAGCTAAGCAATTCATATTGCTAAATAGATAGAGACAGACTAACGTATGACTTCTAAAAGCTGTTATTTGTACTTGTCGTTAGATCTCGGCACATCAATACCAATCATCTGAAACTGAGCAAACGTTTGAGTGTTGCTTTCACATGATAATTCGGTACTTATGCATGATCCCATCGACCGCTGACGGAAGCTTCGGAAACGATCGCCAATCGTTATTGCGAAATTCTAAAGGGTTTGGTCACCCATAATTGGAGCTAAATCGCGCTACCTGGACAGTCACCAGGATAATACGTAATGGTCGAAACTTCATCTTGTTGTATTAAAGTAGTAAACAATATTACAATTGTGAATTAAATTAAGAATCTTTAACAAAGAACAAAAGAAAAGTGACAGAACACGGATTTATTTTTCAAGATAAATAGGAAACTGTGATGTTGCGCGCAATAAAATTTATTGCGTTTTATTTGTAATAAGGGAATATCAGTTCCAAACAGAATGCAACTTATATCGCCAGTACGAGATGAATATTATTTTTAAAAAATTTGAAATATTGCAAGGTAAACAACCGAGAGAAGAAAAGTTACACTTTTAACAATTTGGTTTACAACAAGAACAAAATGGTTCGTGGAAGCAAATAAATCAGCAAAGCAATAGTTCACGCAAGTTTTGCTCTTGGATACATCATTGCAAAAAGATCAAAACCATTCAGTGATGGTGAATTTATACATCGTTTGATTAAATCTCTGAACTTCTCTGTCTTGCTAAACAACAATTATTTAATGTTATTAGTCTGTCAGCCAACAAAGTAGCGGAACGCATTAAGGAAATCGCCAGAGCTTTATGACGTCAGACATCAGTTAAATTACAAAAATTATAGATTTTGCACTATTTTCAGTAGCAATTATGAGATTACTGACATCAAGATGTCACAACTTGCTATTTTCAAACGAAGTGTTACTGATGAATTCATAGTAGTTGAGGAATAACAGAATAATTTTTATGAAAGGAAAAGACTGTTTCACAGAATATTTTTTTCTGAACAAAAAACTGTAATAGGTAAATTTAAATTAAACTGAATGGTAATAGATAAATATAAATTGAATGGTAACAGATAAATATGAATTCAACTGAAATAAAATGGATGCATTTGCAAGTGATAGTGCAGTTACTATTGTTGATATTTAAAAAAAAAAAGAATAGCGATAAAATTAAGAAATAGAGTGAAGGCTTGAATATTGCTTGAAGAAATTGAAAGTGAGTACTGAGAAAAGATTTACCATAACGAGCTGAGCTGGTAAAGTCATGGAGTTGCATTAAAACGATTTTTTAATTTACAACTAAAATTTTTAAAAAATCGCAAATTTTCTGTTTCTTAAATACCGCCTTATTATCCCATATGAAAAATATCATAATTGTTATTATTACTCATGTATGTTTTGGTAAATATTTAGTGGGTCAAATTTGAAAGTAAGCTAAAATTCAGTCAGTTGTTTGAAAACCTTAAAATAAATAAATAAATATTTTTTTTTTTTTTTTTTTTTAATTAATCTAGCTCTCTAGCTGTTTGCTGGTTCAGGTCGAGCATATGAGCCGCATGCAATGAGTCCGAGACCACTGCTATATATGACTCTCAAATACAATCTAGCGCCTCGACAATGGATGATACAAAAGCAATTTCTTCCTTAAACCCAACAAGAAACTCACATTACGCTGCAACTACACGACAGCTGACACATAAAAACTGGCAATTCATGTAGATATTAATATGACTCAAATAAGATCTTTAAAAAAATTAAGGATTTGAAATTTCACATTATTCTCCTTCCTCAGATGAGAAGTCCATAACCTTGTTGATCATGTACTTCAGTGATGAATTTTAAAACAGTTTCATGCTGCTTGGAAGAGATAAATAGAAGCACTTACCCAGATATGTCTGAACTCCAGGTTCCTTAGAGTTGAAGAGGTAAGTAATAGCTATGGACATATCGAATAATGTTGACTCAAACAAGCGAAGCAACAGTGACTCTTTGGGTGGAGGCTTAGGAAACATGACAACTTTGGATTTGGATTCAATAGAATCCGCTAGTTCTTGGTTATCACACACTGGTTCATCCATAGCCTCTTCGGCCATGTCTGAGATATCTCTGGGAAGTTCGCTTGTCGAGGAATGTAATGGGACGAGGCCGTGAACACTGTCCGGCATTAACCGTTGGTGTTGACGCTCGCCATCGTCCGAATTAAAGATACCACTGTCATCGGAAGCTAGACTTGTCCGGTCCGTGTTGTCCCGAACCGGATTGACGCAGGATGGACTGGCGGACGAAGGCGGAGTGTCCAAGGAGACGCTGTCACTGCTTGCGTCATGGAGTTTAGATACTTGACAATGGAGTGGTTGGCTGTAGGTTGAGTTGCTGCTCTCTGGAATTTGCTGGAGAACAGAGTCCAAGCTTCTATTGCGATGATGAGTATGTTGTTGACTGCCGTTGTTCAGCCGGTAGTCCAGGCTATGGTTGCGATGGTGGGATATCCCAGACACGGGATGTAATTTGGAGTAGACGGAATTAATTTGGCCGTGAACACCGACGTCCAGAGAAAGACGGAGGCGCTTCGATAACGAGTCCTCTTCGTGCAGTACCTGCAACGATTCTTCTTCCATGTCAAATTCTCTCTAGGCAATTCTTAACCTCCTCCATACACCTAACTGCCTTCTGCCTGAATCCGTTCAACGACACCTGAAAACAATATGAAATGCATCAGTTTGGAAAAAATTACATTAACAATACTTAAAAGAAATATTAAAATATTTAGTTTTAATCCAATAAAGAAATGAACTTTACAGTAGTAAAATTACTGTATTCAAATATTATATAAAAAATATTGTTTCGAGGTACTTCTGTGATATTGTTAATTCCCTTCCTCACTACGAAACAGACATCAAATAGGATCAAAAGAATCAGCATAATGTTTCCTTATCTTGCAATGGACGCTAAGTAGCTAATCTCGAATAAATCAGTGATGGCTACCTGACTATGGAAGAATATCTTTGTGAAGAATTTTTGCAGAAAACGAAAACATATTATGTTACAGTTCCTAAATGAATTTCATCTTATATACTCATTCGGTGTTGGAAATAAAGCCTGGAATGCAACCACCAGGTTTCAACGGATTTATCTACATGTTAGCTTACAACCACTTTCTGATGGATACTCATTATGATAAAAATTAATTCATGGATTTTGAAGAAAAGACAGAGAAGAAATATCTGACACATGAATTAAAACAAAAATCTCATTGATTTCAGATATTAATAAAAATATTCAGCATATTAAAATTCATAAATGTACTGTACCAATACAGACAATGTTTTGAGAATATTACTAATTACTAATAGTATTTTTTGAGAATTGAGTTTTTACAACATATTTACCTTGATCACGCATCATGTTGTAAATAAACTCAATCATCAGATTTACGCTTGGGAATGTTTTAAGCGATTTCACTTCTTTATAAAGTTTCTAATTTTTATATTCAGTAATTTAAATGTAACCCCATTTCCAAAGATATTAAAAAAAATTAATATCTGATTTTAATCAACGATTTTCTTTTCAAAAATCTGCTGATTAATATCGTGATTTAAATTAAGACGAAACGCAACTAGGGTGATTTAAATCATGATTTTAATCATCTAGTTAAAACCAATGACACCCTGACGTTAGACCAAAAAGAAGAAAAATTACTATGGATTAATATGATCTAACTACATATTGTGTTCTATTCTGGAGATCGAAATTTTTCATGAACACAAGATTTTATATTACAGAAAAAGGCAACCATATCAATGTTCCAACATCTAAACAGAACATAATATTTTGAACACTGGCTAATTATTTACTTTAGAGATATACAAATATAGAAACTGCGGATGTCCTAAAGCAATTCAGATGCATTCTTTAAACAAATAAATAACACGCCAACGAAATATATGCTTAATATAATATAAATAAAAGCACACATCTAAAGCCCATTTTTATACACGGCAAACTAAATTATACTCCACGCTAAGGAATTTTTTTCACTCAGGATTAAAAATCTTTTACGTCTATTTCTGCACATAATTTTCCAACAATTAAGACTTGTACATCTTCCTCAAATCAATTCATTTTGCATATTAAATAATAAATTCCTGCATATATTTTTCCAACAACTGAGACTTATATATACGTCATTTCATTCTGCATATTAAATAATAAGTTACTTAAAAGGTAGAGCCAGGAAGAAGGGATGTACGTATATAAGCGTTCATGCACAAATACAGAGAAAAACGAGAGTTGACGAATACATGAACTGATTGCAAGCGAGTTTCCTGCATTACGCACTGTTAACGAGGAGGGGGGGGGACCGCTTCCGGGCTGCTACATATACAGATGAAAAGAAAATTCTGCGAATGTCATTTCTTAATAAAAATTCCGATACCAAACTTCTGACTAATGCAAGTGGTTTATTAAAGCAACTGACTGTGCAATTTACTAGTGCACACTGTGAGAGATTATGCTGCGCATAATTCACGGTATAAGTACAGAGAGGCTCATTGAGGATGAAGATCAGAGACACTAGATGGTCGATTTTAAGAAAATATTTTTCCACTGATGTCAAGATTTTGCTGTTTGCCGAACTGAAGGCAAGATACTATCAGATACGCCTGGGAATTTTCATTTAATTAAACTTTAAATGGTGAGCACTCTTTCTTTCAGGTAACCTTTTTCAGCATACCTAAAAAGCGATATGAGGTTTTTAATTTCAGGAATTAGCATCGAGTTCCAGCCAAATATGAAACGAAACCTTTCTTAACTGATACATAAAGAAACTGATATTGTAAGAAACACTAGCGAAACCATCACAACTGATCAGATTTATTCTACATTATTATGTTTTCCCTCAACCGCTGAAGAGTTTGCAACAGCTAATCCTTTATAAACCTGTATATAATAAAAATTCAGATCTCTAAATAATCAGAAAATGTTAATGTAATACAGACATACATTACTACAGTAACTCAAAATAATTCAAAATACAGTGCTTCATAACAACAGTAAATATTTAAAAATTAGCAAATTTAGCGTAGATTTTGAAGGAAACTATCGATTTCGAGAGTGATCTGACGTAGATCCTTTTCAGGAGCAAAACAAAATTTACAAAACATGGAAGAAGCAACAATGAAATTTACAAATACTCGTATATCAATAGACGGAGTACTGATTTCAAATACTATTCGAGATAAAATGATATGCTATTAGAAATAACCATAATAACCTGTTCCATTCTATATTACCCTTCTATAAGTTACAGAATTGTTCTATAAAGTTCAACTTATATTTTATCTCCTATCAGTAAAAGCTTTTTGTTCCATTCTTAAAGATTATCTTTGATTTTAATTCTTAGGAAATTTACAGAATTTCTTGTCAGTTTTGACACATCGGCCAATTATCGGCATTACAATTTGCATTACAGAAATCTTATTTTCAGAAACCAAAATTAAATCATATAGCTAGTAATAATCATCCAATTAACCACAACTTTGAATCTGCAAAAATTATACACAAAGCTTTTTTTCAGCTGATGAATTGGATTTCACTTTCATAAAAATTCACTTTCTAGTACAGTTAATGATATTAAATGTAGCAGCAAGTTATAGTCGCAACATGGTCATTTGCGTTTGCAATTGCGCATTTGCAACCGAACGTTGCCCGGAATAGTCATACGTGCGCATACATATGATTTTAATGCAGCATTATTGCCGTCCACCATGCGAAAGTGGACAAAATGCTTACAATGGAAAACAACCAGAAATGAAGAAACACTTTTCCCCCACCCTTTTTTTTAAGCATACGTGACAAGCAGTACACGAATATTACAAAAATGTAATTGATTAAAATTCATTCAATTTTACATTACGTAATCAAGTTACGAAAGAAACTAAAAAAATTATACTTTTTTAATATTTATTTAATATAAATAACCTATATAAATATTTAAATATAAATAATATTTGTTTTAAACAATTCCAGGCCAATCCAATTTATCAGAGTTTGGGTATTCTTTAACTAAAAATTAAATAATTGCCAGTACTTATATTATTGCGATTGATAAGCCCGCCGATTCCTGAATAGATGTTCTATATGCTTAGATGTATGCTGAGAAGCAAAGTCGTAGAGCTTTCAAGCCCTCTTTCGCTGTGAAGCTCTTTTGCTTTTAGCATTTGAAGTCTGCAAGTACAATAACGAGTAAAAAATTTCATAAAATGTCTGTCTTGGGAGAAAAACTGAGATTTTCAGCTATAGTGTGGTATATGCAATTATTTTGAATTTTACTTTTTGTCTTCTGGGGAAATTTAGAAGGACCAACAACAGCAGACATGATGTATCATAGATTACAGATTTAAAAACGCCTTTCTAAGACTCAAAAACAATATCAGTACAATGAACAGCTGAGAATAATGAAAAAAGTGTTTGACAGCCATTTGTTGGAAACATGTTTTGACAAGTTCTACATTCCTTTTGATCCTTTGACAATGATGCATCGGATATGATGATTTATATAGTCCCACTACCCCCCCCAAAAAAGATAAAATTATAGTATACAACTACTTTATTAATATATTTAAGAATATAGATGCTTTAAGAATTTTCAACATTATTAATTATTCCTTTAAGTCATTAACCCAGCAAGTTTTTTTTAAATTTAAAAATTAACCCCCGCCTTTATGTTAGCCACCCTGTATTGTTGCTTACAGCAATATATATATATTTTAAATGAAATGGAATATGTTATAGTTTTAGTCTTTTCGGTCTCTCTCACTTTGGTAAACTTTTTTAAGAAACCTCAGAGAGTCCATAAAGCAAAAAATCTTGATCAAGCTTTTATATTATACAAGAAATCCATTGTACAAAATTTACTACCTGTTTATAATGAAAGTAAGTTTAATAGCCCCGAAGTATTAACATTTATTTATACACGAAACTAATTTTATTATAATTCATTAAATTAGATAATAATAAAAATAAAAATATGTATCATAAAAAATATCGACCAATGTTAAAATGTCCATTAACAATAACAAACTGCAGTGATGCACAATGAGAACACGACCCACGATGGCAGGTAATTTTGGTCTTCTGTGAGAGTTATCCTCTTAGAGACGAAATTTCAATACTCATTATGTTCTTATCATGCTCAATACTCATTTATGTCCTCATTTATGTTTATGTTCATTTACATTCTCCGAAATAATGATAACTTTCAAAGATGAATGAATATTTACCTCTAGCAAAAAGAAATACATATATAAAAACCACGAAAAGGGTTCTTTGTAGTATTTCCTTTTGCTTGATATATATGCTTTTAAACTACGAACGGAGGAAACAAAATTCAAAGCTTTAAATCATTTAAGCCTAAGAAACTCGTCTCAGATAAAATCACCAAACTTTTGAAAGATTTAAAACTAGTTCTGTTCTAAAGGAATTATTATTTTAGATAAAAATTTCTTAATCCTTCCAAAAAAACCTATTTTTTAAATATATCTGCAGCACTACATCGGCAGCACAGATTTCTTCCCGTTCCCACCTAAATGCATATTTTAAGATTGCTTTGTGATATTTTACACTATGCCAAAAAAAGAAAGATTCAAATCTTCAAAGATTCATATAAAAAAAAATTAATATTACTATTTCGTTGT